TTTCTAAAGGCTAGAAGAGACTTGAGGAGACCAAGGACTGCATGCACAGAGTGTATCGCACAGCTCTCCACCTTGCAAAGCTACAGCCTTAGTAATATTTATTCTAGTATATTTAATATTTCACATAATATGGCATTAATGTGCCATGTCTCTCTGCAGCCAACTACTTGTCCACCCACACTCAAACGTAGCACAATTTTGGCTTAAAAACAAAATGAGCAGTGTAATGGCAGATATCCCATAGTCACATCATCACCATCAAAATATAATCAACCGTTTCGTCGACCAAGGATGATTCATATGCCAATTTTTGAACAAATGTTTATTTTTTTTATTTTTTTATGCCTCCCTAATAAACGTAGAAAAAGAGAGTGGTGAAAACCCCCCAACTCCCCCCCCCCAACTTCATGTTGCTTGCACTGTAGGCAGTGAGTGTTTAGGAATCATATTTGAAGAGGCATACGAACTGTGCAAGAGAAAACGGAGAGAGTTGTGTTGCAGCAGTGAAGTGGTCTGGCTGTCCTTGGAGTGGGTTTAAGAAATGGCTGTTCTCCTTCAGCAGAATGTGGAGCGCTTTAGGCAGGACTGAGCTGGAGGAGGCCATTACTCCTGGCTCAAGTCTCAGTTATCTGTCTTCTGTATGATCACCGGAACCACTCCAACTCCATCTCTGTTACCTCATCCTCTCTCCTCCACATACACCGTCACAAACACAAGTAATACAGGCGCACACACACAAACAAATATTCACACCCATCACACCTCAATATATCACATCTTGGCGCATTTCAGCTTCTTAATATTTACACAGCTCACATTTCCATTCTTGTCATGTAGGCAGATGCAGAGCATATGGCTTGTTGTCTCATAGTAAGTGATTGAATAATCAGTTTGTAACCTTTTGTGGTCCATTCTCCAGGTGTGTCATTCAAGCCTGCGGTGGGTATATGCTGTGAAAAAAGGGAAATGAATAAATTACATTAGATGGATAGTTAGGCTTCACGTGGAGGAGCAGGAGAGCTCAAAATGATTTTTCTGTAGAGGAGTCTCACACAGGAGTCTTTTTTTCTCTCCCTGTTCTTCCTTTTCACACCCCTCTCCACCCCCACACTCCGCTGTATGTTCTATTTCTGACACAACAGAGATGAGTAGTGAATGGTGTTGCCTTGCACTGGTTCTTAACAAGTGAGGGGATTGTGTACTGGTGCTTACCAAGTGAGGGGATTGTGTACAGTGTGTTTTATATATTGGGTAAATTGGTGCTGTGCTGGCACAGAGCACAGACGCATCCCACTCGATGGTTACAGTCTGGTCTGCAGCCAGTTGTGTTTTGCTGGTGGGAGAAGAAGTGACAGTGGAAGGACGCTGAAGCTGCGTCCCAAGTGACGTATTGAGGCTGTAGACCCCAATGGTGGGTCCCTCAAAAGACCTGAACATGTGCACCCGTTACAACAGGCATGCATTCCCTTTAATTCCACTGGAAAGTTTATACCTTGAATATTCCAGGAATTTTGCAATTTCTTTTTCTAACCTGTGTTTAATATTTTTCCTTAATCGCACCAGATACATTCTGGTCTGTGAAGTTTCCAGAGATGAAAAAGATATCTCTCTTTTGTTTAGCTCTCTAGTCTTTCCCTTTCATTACTCACTCACACAGTCAACACCTCTTCAAGACAAAGTCACCTCTTTGTAACCTTTTCGCCGTTCCCTGTCTTTATTCCGTCTTGTGCTCCTTGCCTCTCAGTGATGATGACTACTGGCCATCCTCCCACTCATCTATCTCTTCCTCTCTGTCTTGTGCCTACCTGTCTTACTTTCTGTTCGTCTCCTTCACGTCTTCTCTAGGTTCAGGTATCTTTCTTGCTGTCTCTCTTTCTCTCTCTCCTGCTCTGTCACTTGGCTGTCTCCGACCAGATAGGAAGACTCCCTCTCTTTAAGACAGCTGACATGTGGCAATTTCCCTTCGTTAATGACAAGAAATGTGCCAATTACCTCTCCGGATGTTTCACTGCCAATCAGATGCTAACGAGCTGCAAGTGTGTGCGCGTTCGTGTGTGTGTGTGTGTGGGTGATTGAGTCTGTTGGCTTGCGAGAAAGTTGGACAAATGCTATACGAGATGTAATCTTCTGCAGATTTTTTATCATTTGAAAGCTTTACACAAGTGTGGTGTAGATTGGCTTACCTTTTCATCTCCAGTTTTATTAATGAGTCCTAATTATATTCGGTACAGAATAAATGATGGGTGAACTGTTGCTCACTTTTGCTCTCGCACAACCGTTCCCACTTCTGATGTACGGTTCTTCCACTTTCTATCTCTCTTCCCTCGGCCTCCCTCCCACCCCTCCATCTGTGCGGAAAAGCGCTTTTGTTAAATTTTTAATTATCTTCTCATATAAAAGTGCTCTTGACATCTCAGAGCAGCACGTTGGGAGACGCTGCCTCTGCGATTGGTGCAAAATTGGATAACCACCTCTTTGTATCAGCTGTCCGTCTCGATTCGAAGAATAGGCCTTTTACTTACTAATATCCTGTGCTCTGCACACACTGATGTGAGCTCTAAATAGCAAAATATTTATGATGTTAACAAAAACCCATCGTTTCTCTTGTTTGCATCATCTTTATTTGTTTTATTGGGCTTTTCAACATGACACAGGGAACGAAGGACACAAAATGGCAATCGTCTTTGTTCCCTAAACGCAAGGGTCCTTCTCTTTGGTCATGTTTGTCATTTTTGTTAGTGTCATTCAGTTTTAAAATGAGTGGTGGTATTGTAACAAAAAATACAAAAATCTACATAAACCTTGTTCAATGGATGCATTCACTCTAATCACTGTAGCCTCCCTGTTAATGATGGAGTGGTAATAGTGCCTTATGCTTTCATTATAACGATTGCAGGTTTGAGATCAAGATAATGCACAGGAGTTATTTACCTTATTACTAATGTGTATTATAAGATGACTTTTATAAAGGATATCTCAGTGTTGAAACCTCAGGGAGGTTTTGTGAGTTATTATTGAATTCATGTGCTCCAATCCTGAAAGTCAAGACAGATGTCTAATTGCCACCTCAGCAGATGTCAAGACACATTTGTTGCAGTGAAATTAAAACAGAAGCCAACTAAATAGCAATATACTGAAACGCCTAAATATATACACCTAACACATATGTACAGGCTTTGCTATAAATTCCTGGAATAACCATTATAAAGCGTTTTGAGTCATTTGCACCATCACGCTTACTGAATAGTTTAAGTTCACAAAAAATGCGAAAGACTGACACCTCCGAATTGACATAGTCATCTATTACCATAGATTCAATGTTTTGTGTCTTATGTCTAAGTCCACACTGCAGTACTCATTGATTTGTGTGATAATAAAGCTGCTTTCATTAAACATCTAGTTGTGAATTAATTGAAATTAGCATCTGCTAATATAAAGACATGTTTGTTTTTTTTCATGTGGGAAGTGTCGCTCATAATGCTGTACCATTATGTTGAGGAATTAAGATGGCGTATAAGATATATCTACGACTGAGTGACCGATACATCGCATCTTATGTTATGCAGCACTTTGTGTCAATGCGCTCTCGTGAGAGAGATTTAATTTCAGCTAGTAGATGGCTTGTGAGGGAATCCTATCCTGCCTTTCTCCACGAGATTGAGTCAGCTAATATATGTTTATGGCGAAAAACACTTATAAGCATCAAATTAGTATATACTATACATCACACTTACGGAGGTTTACTGTAAAGCTCTGCTGATATTAAGTAGTACTATATGTCTTGCTGGATATTAAGCATCCAGTGTTTGGTCAGATGTAAGTTTGTCTTGGTGATAGGTGTTTTATGGGCTGCACAATGTAAGTGTTGTGTGCATTCATGTGAAGGAGGACTGGGTAGGCAGAGTTTGACTGTGAGATAATTGTGTAGTATTGAACATACCTTCGTCTCAGCCTCTCCAATGTGTTCCCACTGGATAACGAAGCAGGCAGCTGAGGTGTGACGCTGATGGCATCTTTGATATCCGTCATGTCAAGCAAACACAGATACTAGTGAAGCTGGTGATGCATGTAACTCAGTGCATGTCACAATCAGCACATCTTCTCTTCGGAGAAAGTTCTAACAATGCTGGTCTTACAACATCGCCCAATGTTTTGTACATCCCGGCATCACATGCCATGTGTGTGTTTCTTATGAAATCAAACAACATCGTTTTGTCGTGGCGGCCCTTATATCAGGTTATTGTCCCACTTTTTTGAGATACTTTCTCTCTCAAGAGCACAATCTTTTATAAACATCCTACTTATCTTCGCCTGTACGGCTCCTTAGGGTCTTATCTCTTATCTGGCCCCGCTCCTCATGGGATATCACAATACACAAGAAGTTAGCTATTTGCCAGGTCTCCCCATCACTGGACAGCTCCTTTTGAAGAAAACCAGAGAACCAGCAAATATTGTTGAATCAAAGTGGCTTCAGAGTGTGAGGCGGCACATGTTATTCTTTTAAAGCCTTCCAAACCTTTACACCTCTTGAAGAGAAAAAGGATCTCGGTGATTTACTGCCGTATAAAGGCTCTAAATTTTTGTGATAGTGCCAGGAGTTCAATACCCGTATCATTTAGAGAAATGAAACTCATAAGGAAAGGTCAGAGAGACTCTCAGATTCAGGAATGTTCTCTACTGCCTGACCATCCTGCTGTTACTGTAGTGCTTTGTTCTATGGGGAGAGTAAAAAGAGCATGATAGCTATTGACTTTTTGTAGCAGGACCTTCAGAGACGTAAACAATTGTGCTCTACTCGTGGCACTCACTGCTATTTGAGAGGTTAGTCGGAGACGAGAAAAACTACAGCTGTTTAAACACTTTGCTGTGATTGTTCTACAATTGAATGAGGTCAACCTGTCACATGTTCTCACAGCGTCTGTTTAAAAGACTGTTCTGTTGTCTCCGAGCTCTTTGTCCTTTCTCTTTTTTTTCAAGTTGTGCTCTCTCCTTCCCCTTAGGTGGAGTGGTTGAAGAACGAGGAAGTTATTGATCCTGCGGATGACAGAAACTTCTACATCACCATCGATCACAACCTGATCATCAAACAGGCCCGCCTCTCTGACACTGCCAACTACACTTGTGTCGCTAAGAACATTGTGGCCAAGAGACGCAGCACCACAGCCACAGTTATTGTCTATGGTAAACGAGCACCGTCTTAACACTCAACAACATAGTCAATGAGATATAACGATAGTCTTTCATCTCCTGACCGACAAACTCTTTCTCCTTATTGTCCACATGAGGGATGACTAAAGTCAGACACTAGCGCAGAAGAAAAGTATTGAATTCCTATAAGAAGGCAGCTGAACTCCAAAAAACAAAATTCAAAGTCACTCTGCATAAAGCAGAATCCTTCTCTCTCCCGGGGCGTGTAACATTTGCTCATTTTGTTCATGCCGGAAGGTGTGCAAGAAATGGAAGATAAGTGATTTTTCTGAACTGTAAGCGAGGTGCTGATGTGGCTGAGCCATACTTAAAGAGCCCCCTGCTGTGGTTTCACACAAGACCCACCCACTGTTTCCCCAACATCAGCTAACGTGACTGTTATTGCACAGCACGGCTGTGAAGTTGAACAATGTGTGCTCGAGGCTGTGCACTTTCAGAGTGAATAAAGAGGTAATGTTGCATGCATGCGGATGGATACGGACACGAGACAAACGTGAACAGATGCTTGAAACTGATACTTTCACCAGGGTCGAGTTTAAAATCTATAATTCCCTCTTCACTGGCTCATGAACATTAAGAACAATGTGGCTAGTGGGGGTCAGTGTAAGGGCGATAAAGAAACACAAATTGTGAATCCAAGAGAGACGGTTTCAGGGACAAGGGTTGCTGTCTGCGCAAGGCTTTCCTGTCACTGGCGTTGAATAACTGCTTTGATGTCAGCTCATCCTTGACTGAAAGTACAACAAACCACTGCGTCTGTTAGTGCTGTCCTTGTTTTTTAATCAAAATTGGGTACTTGCACCTTTATGCACAGTTGTGCTGTATGTGAAGGTACACATAAAGCAGTTTTGGAAACCCAAAGCATAAGAGAGAGTGGCACTAGAACATGCACTGTGTGTTTAGCCCAGTGGTTTCCAGCCCAACTCGCGACAAGGACACTGGGAACAGGAGCACGAGCAATGGAGAAAAAGAAGGAGAGAGGAGATAGATCCATAATCCATGGAGGAAAGAGAGCAGACAATAAAGAAATGTGGGGCTTTGGCAGTCTTCCCCTAGAGTCCAATATTTTGGGCTTCACTCATAAGCATGTCACATTTGAAAGTTGGAGGCTCCAAAGGGGCCCAGTTCCACCATCTCAAATGCCACGGACTTGTTCTCAGCCACAAGCCCTGGTGTCACTCCGCACTGGATTTAGTCGCTGACAGAGATGGATGAGAGAGGGAAAAGAGGCATTAGGAGGAATCAGTGAATGGAAAATGCAGCAATGTGACCAGTATTCACTGTCTGGCTGCATGGCAAAGTAACAACCAGAGAAAGCTCTTTTTATACATTTTACAATGTGCAACGATAAATGATGTATTGATAGAAGAATTAAATCCAAATGTAATGTTTTTAATTTTGTGTCTCTCTGTGCTTTTACTTATTTTTATTTCATTTGTTAAATTGTCTTTTTATTTTGTCAAGTAGTGCGAGCGATGTTTTAACACGTTTCGTTCCCATGTATACCAGTGAATGGTGGTTGGTCGACATGGACAGAGTGGTCGGTGTGTAACAGCCGCTGTGGCCGTGGTTACCAGAAACGCACACGCAGCTGTACCAACCCAGCCCCACTCAATGGCGGCGCCATCTGTGAAGGGCAAGGCATTCAGAAGCTGCCGTGCAATCCTCTCTGCCCAGGTATGGCATCAAATTACAATAAACCCACTCGGTAGTGGGTGGAAAAGGGTATAGGTGCACAAAAACGGTATTCATAATATATGATACAACTCTGTGTTTGCATATTTCGCTCTGTTTGTGCCTCCACCCTTACTTGTGTGTCTCTCTCCCACATATCCCGCTGTCTCAATCACGCACACGTTCACCCACTCACGTACTTGTTTGTCTTCATCTTCTCATTTGACCATTTCGTTCACTCTACCCCCGTCTGTCCTGTCTGTTGTGTGGTAGTGGATGGCGTGTGGACAGAGTGGATTAAGTGGTCCACCTGTGGGACAGAGTGCACCCACTGGAGGAGGAGAGAATGCAGCGTTCCAGCACCCAAAAACGGGGGAAAGGACTGTGAGGGCATGGTGCTCCAGTCCAAGAACTGCACCGATGGGATGTGCATGCAGAGTGAGTACCCGACTAATCCTCTGCTACTCTCTCTGACCTGCCAACCAAAGAAATCTCTTCACCCTTTGACCATGAGTTTCACTTTGCTCTTTCATTGACACGCTGTGTTTCACATGCCGACATAACACTGTCACCCTGTCTCTCACTCACTCTGTTTCGCTTCACTCATACATAAACAACACGACATGCTAAAACTCCTTTCTCTGTGTCTTCTGCACTCAATCTCTTTATTTGCACATTCATACGACACAAAAGCTGTTGGATAAAAGTGACATAAAAGAAGAAACCACAGCACGTCTTTTCTTGTGTCAGCTCTGCTGCAGATTTAAGTACATGTTAAAAAAAAAGACTAGGCCACATGGGGAAGTGCTCTAAGTAATTATCCTTGTCACAGGCTAAGCATTTAAGAGTTATATTTAAAATAATAATATATTGTAATTACATAAAGGGGGTCACATCTACAGGACTGCTTTAATTACTACCTTAATTTAACAACTGAGAGGAAACACGTGGCCACAAAGTGGCACAACTGTAGACTTGCTCCTTTTCCTGCTGACAATTACACGTGTTGCAAAGTGAGCAAGTATTGCGGACGACATAATAATCTAGTCTTATAATGATTTCAAAGATCCCAAGATGCACCAGCATTTCTTTCTCATCAATCACAATCCTTCGATTGCTTTTACTGTTTTGTTGCTGGCAGAAAAAGGCCAACGCCAGTTTGTGGTGCGGCCACAAAAAAAAATGTTTTCTGCTTCTCTTTCTTCCAGCAAGTTGAAAACAGCCACGCAGTTTAGTGCTCCCTCTCCCTTATAATACATTCACAGATTGGAGTCATGCTGCAATTGCTCTGATACAGTTGTGTGTTTACTGCAGTGTTAAGAAGCTACTCAGATAAGTATTTAATACCTTGAACTACTCAAACAGTCTTTGCCTTCTTTTCTTTGCCTGTAATAATAATAATAAGAGGAAGTGGAAGAGAATGAGGTAGCTGGAAAGACTGCACAGTAACCGAGTTAAATTCTGTGTCGAGTTTAATAAAACAATCCTCTCCAATGAACATCTTTGAAGGTGTTAGAACCCCACACACGGTCACAGATGCCTCCATTATGTGTATAACCTCCTACAGATGGTGATGGTGACACTAATAATATAACAAAGGCTCTGCTGCTGGATGTCTCGAATTTGATGCAGTTGGCCGTCACTGTGTGCAGCTGATGTGAGATTTTTCCAGCACTGAAGGGTTGTTAACCGCTACCAGCAGTATGGTGTCGACATGATGTGCTATAGGTTACGGTTGACGTCACATTGGTGGCAAATATGCATCTTTAGGCGCGGATGGCTGATGGATTTGCATGCGTCTGTCCAAAGTAAACACGTACTGTCTGCCCATATGTATGGAGGACCAACAGGAAACTATGACTTCAGTGCTCAATGATTTCATTTTGCGTCAGCATCAGAGGAATGCATTAGCGGATTTTATAGCCAGGGTCATATGTCTACAGTGTATAGAAACATCAGGGGAAAAATCTATAAAAACTCTCATAAGTACTCTTATTTGTCTTATTCATCTTATTTTATTTCTGCGACTCAGCCTATCACAGAAGCGTTAGTTCTCGGTAGATTGATGGGCAGCTTGCAGAGAGTATAAAGCCATAATGATATAGATTTAGGATCGTTTCAGGGATTGATTTTTTTTGGAAGCTAAGAGGGTGAAGCCACTTATGTCAATGCTAATGACCATTTCCACTAGCATTTAGAAGAACGGCCCATTATCTAAAAGCTCACATTATGGCAAATATGATTGGGAATGGAAGTTGTGTGCAATCTGAACTCACCTCGGACTGCTGATCTGCTCCCTCCAGTGCCGGGCTGGGATCTGAGCAAACACGTGTCTGTGGATTCCATTGCAGCTTGATCTTATTTTCTGTTGTTTGACTTTATTTAAATCATTTCAATTGCAATCCATCGCGGAAATCTGGCGAAGGAATTTGATATACAAGCTGGAAATAGAACTCGAGATGCTCTGTCTCCATCGCTGCACAAAAACACAACTGACCTGAATCAAAAAGGAGATAGTTGTATTATAATTTACTTTGCAGCTTGTTCATCACATTTAGACTGTCGGTGAGTTTGGGGTTAGGAGTTAACAAAGTTATGTATCTACAGATTGATCGAGAGAGGTTTGCACTCTGCCTGTTCAGATAGAACTTCCCAACTCTTAACACAAGCCTGTAGTTTTCACAGTTCACTGAGGCTGACCTGTCTAAATCTCTTGTTTTTGCGCTCCCTCTGTGGTCTGCCTTCCCTGATTCTAAGCCTTTGGTAACCCTCCTCTCAGACATGACATTTTCTTGACATATTGATGTAGCGAAAGGGGAGCGAACACTCCAGGCAGGGCTAATGTTTTATTGCTATCAAACACCAGAGACGGGGGAAATCATCATTCTAAGGTTCACTTCAGGCATCCAAGAACATCAGGTTATTTATACTATAGTGGTTGAAAACTTTTGATTAGATATAAATGTCTTTGGCGTATAATCATGAATTCCATTGAGTGTAGATTCATAACCAAGAAGTAGGATGACATCAGTTTTGCCACATGACAGTATTCTTCTCCGAGGATGAAAATCTGCCACATTCAAGGAAGTAATGTCTGAAAGCCAGACAGTGATTTCCTGTACTACGAGTCCCCTTTTCCTCCTCAGCTCTATTTTGTCAGTAAGGAATAATCTGTCTCTCTGGGGCTCTGAGGTTTCCTTTGGAGGCCACCCACCGAAGCATGCTTTTACTCTCGCTATATTGTAGACTGACGGATGAATAGAAAGTCTACAGGATGGGTTCAAATGGGCCATCCGTTAGACTGACCCTGACAGTCGCCCCCCCCGCTCCGTCCTGGCCTTCCCTTTGCCTGATTACATGAACACACCAGCTCCATCTATCAAGTCATTGATTTTCCTGTCGGTCCACTTGTCTGCCCGTGGCTCTCTCCCTCTCCAATAAGGACTTCATTGTTTGTATAGTTGTTTATGGATGTCCCAGGGAGACTGAATATTATGTGCACTAGTGCACTATCCCTGGCTGCCATTCTGCACTGCTTCTCCTTCGCGTCAACAAACAACAAAGCCAACCAAAAGCCCGGTTTACGGCCCAAAAACCATCTATGTGGAAGATTTTGCATTGTTCTTCAACCTTTTTCCATTTCCTGCTTTCCTAACACACGCAATCCTTTTATTTCTTGCACTAACCTCTCCATCCACCTTCCAGTGACATATGCAAGGCTGTTGGTTCTATTGACTCTGTTGTTGGAGCCCACACTTTATCAGTCCCTCCATTCCCCTCACCTGCCAGCATCAGTCCTGCTGCTGCTAAGGCACTAAGCCCAGTTGATGGATCACACCACTCCCTCACCGAACCTCCATGTTCCCCCCCGTTCCTCTCATCCATCTTTATACTCTGTACACCGATCTGGAGAGGAGGGGCCAAATCAAGAAAGATCGCTTCCCTGTGTCATCACTCCTACTCATGAGTTTGTTGCTGTCTCATTTGTTGAGTTTGTTTTTCTGTTGGCTTAAATTTGATTTTCATCATCCCTCTCCCGCCATCTCCCCTCCCACCCTCCCCCACCCTTACCTTCCCTACTCTTTCTGCTACCCACAATCTCTACCTCTCTTCAAGGTTCCTTATATCAGAAGTCCTCTGAGGCAAAAGACAAGAGTGATTTTGGAAATTCATGTGAGTTATTGTTTGTTTTTTTATCATTTGTTTTTTAACATTATTTCTACATTCATGCTCATGTCTGTCTCTAATCTTTGTTGAAAGGTTTTACAATAAGTTTACAGTAAAAAAAAAAAAACTGTCTTATATTGCAAACAGCAACGTTTTACATGTGGTATTTTTTCCCATTAACGTAAAACAAATGTTTGCCATTGTCCTTTTATGTCCATCTCTGTTTCATTACTGCTCTTCTGTTATTTTACTTGCAGATACCCACCTCAGGGCATTTCCTTTTTTGATTTCCGCTCTGCCCTATCTCATAATGTGTCTCTACCTGTTTACCAACTATTGTCTAGCTCAGAGCTGACAATGCCTTTTACCCTCTTGCCCCTCAAGAACTTCAGCCTTGACACTTTGCCTCGTCAGGAGCTCAGGCACTCAGGCAAAGAATTTAACCCACTGTGTCTTTGGCGGTGCATATCTCTAATATTTTTCTCTCTGTATTTCACCCTCCCTCTGTAAATCTCTGCGTCCTCCTAGAGAATGAAGTGTTCAATAATCCCTTTCATTTCCCATTTCTTGTACTTTTCCCTCTCCGACAATGGCTCATGTTCAAAGGGATGTATTAATCTAAGTGATACATTTTAATGTGTACACTGAGCAGGTTGCTGCCTTTATCATCAAAGCGGGGATGGGAGATTGTTCGACTGAGGGAATATATGTTAAATAACTGCAGGGAAGCTTGCAGAAGAAGCACAGTGAAATTACATTTTCAGACTTTCATCAGTGGCTCCCTGCTCTGTTTTCTGTTCGTGTCTGTGCTAGAAGAAGGATTAGAGGCCTATCATATATAAGGATATACCTTGACACTCTTCTTTAATGTGATGTCTCAGTTAGGGTTGCATGAAGAGAGCGAGGCCACACGCATCCTGGGACCGAGGGAAATGAAGTCTTCCCGTGGCCTTTCAGTACATCTTAACTGAAAGAAACTATCTAGTTTTATTCTATCACTATGTTAATACAGCGAGCAAAAATTAAGGTCATACCCAATTTAAATTCAATAGATATTCTCTAAGAGCTTTGAATATAATGGATTTTAAACTGAGTGTTGAATGACGTACTTGTTTAGTTAGATTTAAAACCTATTCATCCAGCTACAAAAACATCAAGTCATAACTAGAGAAAAGGAAGCTGCACGCGTTTACTCTTGGAGACCAAGGATGTGCTAAAAACACAACTTATGGCTTTCGATTGTCAGAAAAACACTCCCTTCTCTTGCTTTTCTCCTTCTTTGTACAAGAGAACACTGGAGACACAGATTGAGTGCCATCTGTATCCCTGAGACACATGAGGCTAATTTACACAAACGCTCAGCATCATGCATGTCCTGAAAGTGCTGTGTATGGATCTATGGTTGATGCTGCCCTCTGCTGGTGCAGATTCCGTGGCATTTGCATACTTAAATGATCTTATCAGACATTTTTCTCTGATCAAATAACTTTATTTTTACATTTCGCTACCTCTAAAGAAGAGTTCCTCCTCTATTGTCAACATGGTGACAGTGGAGAACATTCTTTACCAAACACTACAGAGAGTTCAGACTGTCAGTAGGCATCCATTAAAAGGTCTGATCGGTAATGAGTGTCTGTCTGAGTCTGCGTTTCCAAGAGCCACCATGTCCATGCCAGGCCCGCTAATCACAGAGGTTACTCCAGCTGGAAAGAGGACAGAAAGACTCTGGGAAGGGAGACAGAGATGAAAGACAGTTTGAGAAATGCAAGCTATGTCTAGATCTTATCTTCAGTGTGTAAGAACAAAGACAGAAGCAGACTCTGAACTCCAACGCATAGCACGGTAATTTGAAGATGAAAACGTCTTCAGGACTTTTGATCTCGCTTCTGAGTCTGCTTGTTAGACAGTGTGTCATTGGGTTGCACTGGAGCAGCCGTCCTTATTAATTGCGTCGTTGTACGCAGAGTTCATCATCATTATATTTATGTTCTTGTTTTTCTAGTTATCTGTATGATGTATGGTGTACAGGCCCCTCTAACCCACAACACATCATGACTCTTGCATATGTTTACTAGATATCTTTGTGAGGAAGAGCTATTTGTGTGCCCTTTAGTGTGTAACATCAGCCAACATTGAGTGTAAGATGGCCAAGCTGAAAGGAGAAAAAGATAAAGTTGTGTGTGACTCTCTACAGTACATGCATCATTATCCCGTTTCACTTTTTACAATTAAGAGTGTCCTCTATTATTTAATCAACACCCAGATTATTTGCCACAGCGGGGCAGCATTAACCACAGTCAAAAAAAAAAAAAAGACAGGAGAACTGTAGTGTATGCATTTATTTCCCAGTAGATGGTTATTAATATCCGGCTCAATCTTAAAGCAGGATATTAGTCTGCTGATAATGGCTTCATCACAACCCCTGCATACTGAGAAAGAAAGCTGTTGATGTGAACTCATGAGATCTTAAAAGACTGTTTTTCTTTTTGTCTTCTGTCTCTCCCACTCCTCCTCCAGTGGCCCCCAGTACAGATGATGTAGCTCTGTATGTGGGCATTGTCATCGCGGTGATCATGTGCCTGGTTATCTCGGTTGTCGTGGCGCTCTTCATCTACAGGAAGAACCACCGCGACTTTGACTCTGACATCATCGATTCCTCCGCCCTCAATGGAGGTTTCCAGCCAGTCAGCATCAAGACCACCCGCAAAGGTGGGGTTCAGCATTGATATATGTTTATTTTGTTTGTGTGTTTGCCTGCATGTATTAGTGTGCATCTGTGTGCACATGCTTTATGTCTTGTTTTCACATGCATACATGATTTCCTTTATACCACCTGTGAGTTAGTTAGTGAACATCAGATGGAATTAAGACTGTTCATCTTTTGAATTCTTCTGATACTTATAATGATACAATAACAATATAATACAGATACCAAAATGTTAGCAAAGTATTAAATCAGTATATATCTGACTGAAGCACAAGTAAACAAGACAATTAATCTGACCGGGTATTCGATCGTTGCTTTTGGTACCGACAGTTTTTGATACTCTGTGTTGTTACAGACACATTTCAGTCAGTTTCAATACGCCGATGATTGCATAACAGTAATGTCAGGCGTTAGCAACCCACAGCATTAACCTGGCGAGATAAGTTTTACTCAGCTGCTCTGGCGCCACGTGTGTGTTAGTGATGATGTGAATGTAAATGTGGCCTTTTGACTGTAGATGAGCAGGAAGCTTGTGAGAGAAATACAGACGACATGTTTTTGCGAGCAAGGCGATGAAACTATTAAATTGCTCGTCGCTGTGACGGCAGACCGAACTATGCCCCTTCATTAAGGCATAATAAGGCCAGTCTGCATGTCGCATATTAAACTCTTAATTAGATTTGGGCTGGTGACGCATGACTTGTATAAGATAAGATGCAGAGTTGAGGACAGGTGGCAGTGAGCTGGACAATAACACAGCAGATTGTAAATGTAAAAGTCAGTCTGAGGTTTTAGGAACTAGAAAATTAAAAGCTGGAAAAAAAGAGAAAATAATACACAGGAAAAGAAGATTTGGGTATTTAAAACCAAAATCTTTGCTAAATGTAGGATTGTTGTCACTGTTAAACACACATCAAAGACATCTGCTAATCCACCACTGAACAGAAGAAGAAACATTTGCAAACAACAGCAACAGGTACACACAAACAGTATAGTAAACCATAGTGTTAATGCGACAGATTTTCCTTTGATTAAATAGCTTTAAGAATATTTGTAAAAGAAAAATGTGTTTACAAGTATATTTCATAACTATATGGATAACCTCTGGCAGTCCAAATCAGTAGATGTCTGAACCAGATAACTGAAGACAGGACCTGATGGTGGCAGATAAACAAATCAAGACCAGTCGATATGTCTGTACTGACCGTCAATGTCAGCTAAATAATGTTAGGTTATTTATATTGAGCCATTTACTAACTAGTGTAGAACTCTAACATTTAGGCTTACTTATTTAAAAACAAAAAAGAACAGGCTTAAGACATAATGAGAATACTGCAATAATTCTGACCACACCTTAACTACTACTGTTCATATTTTATATAGCATTTATAATAATGACACAAACATGAATACTACTACAACTATTGTAATACTACAAAAAATGGTAATGAGAATAGGCATAGATCCTTATTTTACCCGTCTCTTGTTTTATTTGAACACTTTGTGACCTACGTTGACATCTGCACCATGCAGAAAGTTGGTGTTGTTGGAGAGCAGAGAGGGGTCGGAGGTAGTGGAAAAGCTGGAGGAGAGAGCGCTCCCACTGCTATCACTGCTATCACTCCACCCACTCAGCACAGCTATTGAACATTGATCCTTGTACCTATTGGGTAAACCAAGCGTTAGTGATGCCATCTGTTACTCATGAATCACAGCTGCGCCTATAACTTCTCTGACTGAGTAATGTTTCTTGGTGGTGAGGTGGACCTCCCTAATGAGCGAAAAAACAAATGAGTAAAGTCAAACAGCAGTCTTGCTGATTGCCGCCAACACTTTAGTTCCTGGTGGCTGTATTGGTTTGAAGTTGGCTTCCTACCAGTTGGAAAGAGTATGCGGTGACCACAAAACTTCTCTCAAGACATTTACTCTGCGTGACTGATGTCACTTTCTTTTCTTTTCCAGCTGATCTCCTAACATCACCTCCCGACTTGACCTCAGCGGCCGCCATGTACCGCGGCCCCGTCTACGCCCTCCACGATGTGGCTGACAAAATCCCCATGACTAATTCCCCTCTGCTGGACCCTCTTCCCAACCTGAAGATTAAGGTGTACAACTCCTCAGGTTTAGTGACCCCACAAGATGACCTAGGGGGTGAATTTTCCTCTAAACTGTCGCCTAAGCTACCACACTGCCTCCTGGACAACAACGATTGCACGATGGGCCGTCGCACGCAGACCCAGACGTTACTCCGTACTAGGGATCCATCCTGCACCGCGTTGGGCTCCTTCAGCTCCCAGGGGGGGCACCTCATTGTGCCCAACTCAGGTACTGTACCAGACAAATGAGACACATTTGTGTGTGTTGATCTGTGATTCATTGAGTATTCATATGTTTAACCAGGCTGAAATGTTTGCCGATTTCAAAATATGCAGAGATAAGCATAGTATAAGAATAAATGCGCTCTCATTCATGAAAGAGGGATCTCCAAGTTCCAGCAAATTCACAGTTCATCTTGAAACTCCTTAGCTGTCTTTTGTCTGTGTTAATTGGAGCAGCATGCTTTCATCTACCCGTGGCTCTCCTTTCAGGTGCTTTTACAGCATTTAGTGAAATTCTGTACGTGCATGCGAGAATATGTGTGGGTGTGCGTGTGCATATATTTTCCTTCTGGTCGGGTTAACTCCTCTCCATAGTCTAGTCTGGAGATAGATTATCCATCAGCTCTTCCTCTGTGGGGCCATTCATTTTTTTTATTCATAATAGGTGATGATATTCTTGGCCCGAAATGTTTCCCTTAAAGATTACATGAAATGGGCACTTGAAACCCCAGACCTTTTCTTGGCTTTGTGCAGTAACTTCCTGGTACCTCTTAAACAAACAAGATATAAAGCGTTGAGTAGTGTTTAGAGGTGCTGGTAGGCAGATTTAGTTACTTTCGGACAGAGTCAGGCTAGGTGTTTCCCCCTGGGTTCAGTCTTTATGCTAAGCTAAGCTAGCTGGCTGCTAACTGTAGCTTTATATTTAGCCGACAGATGAGAGTGGGATTGCTCTTTTCTTTAAGTCTCTGTAACTAAGCAAATAATCACATTTCTCATTACACATGGTGAAATGTGCCAAAACAAATAATAATGAGTACTGGTATGATTGTTTCTACCTTTTAAGAGACGGGTACATTTTTGTTAAATGCGGACTAAACTGGGCTGAAATACGATATAAATGATGTTCTAGATGTATGAGATCTGAGCTGTTTCTTTACCACCTTGCAGGATCAGGGTCACATCACACAGATGTGACCTTTAAATAATACGCCAAACCATATGCAACCTATCAGTGTGTTAACTGCACACAGTATGACGAGGGTTGATGGATACCTAAGGTGTGTGCACTGGAAGTACTGATGTAGAGGCATACTGTTTCCATGCTGTCCTCACTTCAAACACATGTGGGCTGTTTGTAACATGCCAGAGATGCATGTTGACAGGCAAAGACAAACTAGCAGAGACATTAAAGGATACACCGACTCCTCAAGTTTCTTAACTTTTCCCTTTTTCGTTTTTTTTGATTCCTGTAAAAAATGCTCTGAGCTGCTAGTTGTGCTCAGCCACCTCATCAAGTTACATAGGCAGAGGGAGAGGAAAGAGCACATTTGATATTTGATCTGTTCGTGAGTCTGGGTAATGAAATATTTGTGGCACCGTCAGTGTGGCTGTTTGGTATTTTGCATCTTAAAATGCGTTTCCTATCTCTTTTGAAGCTTTGCTGTGAGGGAGAGTGGCAGTGTGTGAGACGTCCCCGTGGCAGAGTTGTGATTGCCTAGCTAGCAAGAGAAGCTGTCTGTCACCTTTTGAAAAGTTCAGTACAAGGACATGGGAAATCAATGAGCTATCTGAGAAACCCCTCCAGAGAGAAAGTGTGTGTGTGTGTGTGTTCATTTCTGTGTGTATGTTTGTGCATTAGGGAATGTGGGGGGGTAGGGTCCTAAGAAACGCATTGGACAGGACATCATATCAAATCAATCTGAGATGGAAAAATGTAAATCATGCTGGCTGCAACATTATGAGAACGCTATGAAGAGCAGAGAGATCATTGATTTTAGAAATGAAATGTCACACCATTTCCTGGTGCTGTAGGAGAAGGCAATAAACTGCAATAGTTTTTTATAAGGGACGCTGAGGGGAATTGCGATAATTATTATACTTCTGTTATTAAAATAATTATCACTTTTCTCTGGGTCTTTAACTCTTTAGTGGTACAGTAATACACATCCAAATAGCATATCCATTATAAGTAATTGGTTTATATTTGTGAGTGTTAGGGACCTTGGTTTCACAGTGTAAATATACATATGTAATATTCATATTTTGTAGTTTTTTATGCTGGTCTGATGTGTCTGTGCTCTCACTGACTTTACATTTAACAGAAGAAGCCTATTAAACACATTCATGACATTGGCATGGGCAGCAAAACACGTTGTAAAGTCTCCTCTGATCTACCTGACAACTCACAACGCTTATGTGTGCCTTTTTGTTTGTCTGTGTTTGTGCTCCCCAGGTGTGAGTCTGCTTATTCCAGCAGGGGCCATTCCCCAGGGCAGAGTGTATGAGATGTATGTGACAGTTCAGAGGAAGGACAACATGAGGTATGCAGTGCCGCCAGCCACATCAATGCCCCCCAGAGCTGTGTTTACCCCTGTCAACTCCACCATGTCACAAATACACCGAGACTGCTGTCACATTGCCACTAAACAGCATTTGTGTGTACTTGTATGCGTGTTATTCTCTGTGCACCTCCAGGCCCTCGGTGGAAGATGGCCAAACAGTGCTGAGCCCTGTGGTGAGCTGTGGACCCCCCGGGGCCTTGTTGACTCGGCCCCTCATCATCACCATGCACCACTGTGCTGTGTTTGACGGCCAACAGGATTGGCTGATCCAGCTCAAGAGCCAGTCACAGCAGAACCACTGGGAGGTGAGATGTGGGATGAAAACTGTGCAGCAGTCTCCTGTGTCTGTCACCACAGTCCAAGTTTGAAAATGTGCTTTTGGCAGTCATGTGAAGTATTAAAATGATATGATCTGTTTGCCAACTAAAATAAGATTCACAGATGTGATTTATCCTCATCCACACTGCATTTGGTTGTTTAAAAAGTCTACCTATCAAAGAGCAAAGGGAAAGGTATCGGGAATAACACAATAATGTAATGGCAATAGTGCCATAGATAGCATGGAGGAGGTGAAGGGGATCAACTTCCCATGCTTGGTTTTGCAGCTCAGCACTCGGAGCGAACCCCTGATGCAACCAGGTGCTGAAATAGAAAAGCTCTGATAGCATGGAACAGGCTGGGACACATTTTTCCCCTTGTACCTTTCATGAATGACTATTTCATGTGTGTGTGCTGTTTGTGTTTTTGGAAGCCCTGTGCCTGCAGGCTCCATCATTAACAGTGCTGATGACGAAAAGTTGGGTTGCTGAGGGCAGCAGTGTGAATGTGTTCTGCCTATCCTGTCTCTCCTTCTCTTCTTCACTTTCTCTGCCTCAAACACACACACACACGCCCCTAGACACACAAAAAGTACACTTACCACAAACATCATTTGTAGAGAAACTATGCTTCCGACCTGATCCCAAAAACTGCTTTAAATTTGGTCCAGTTTTCATCTTTCTCCCCAAAAAGGAGTCGTACACCTCAGATGATAATAATAATATTAAAGATCTCGTTTAAGGCAGTTATTAGCATAATTTTCTTACCTGCCAGGAGAGCGTTTCTGAGTAAGCTCTCCTTCCATGTGGTTTTTAATGAACTCTCACAGGCTGTGCGGAAACATTTTTTAAGTGGAAGATGCTCAAAGTGTAAAAACAACCCATAGGCTCATCAATTGTGTAACAGCAGGTTCTAACAGTTGCAGAATGAAAAGCAGTAGAAAAACACCCAAATGTTTCATTTTCTTAATAATATGGATTTCAGTCTATAAAGGCTTAGGGCCTAAATTAATAATACATACATTTGAAGAGGATACTACTCTTGGGGAGGGTATTTAGGTAAATGTTGAAGCATACTGTGAAGGCCAGTCACATTTGGAAAAGCACACTACTTAGCACCATCCTATATCTAATATATATCTGTCAGCATATTGAGTAGTGGCTTGAATAGCATCACTTTTAAGAAGTCTTTGCACAATCTCCACTGCTGATGTGATGATATGACTTATGAAGCAGAGAAAAACTGCCAGACTGGCCCCACATGCCTCTGTGACATTGATGAATCACTTCGAGGCAGCTAATATAGCTCAGGGTAAACTGAGTATTTTTAAGGAGGCATAATATTGATCGAGGGCGAGGGGGGGGGGGGGGGGGGGTCCAAGTGTCTGTGTGTGTGTGTGTGTGTGTGTATACAGTCTAATGCAATCTGGAAGTATAACCAATTGTCTCACTGGTCAGTCTGGCTCCTGTTTGTAACAAAATGTCCTCATACCTCGAACAAAGTCTGGAGTTTGGAGTATCCGATGACGTGTCTGGTCATTGAAAATATTGGGGTGGACATTTATCCTTATTTCATATATTGGAGGGGACGTGTTCCCCCGTCCCTCGTGGTGATTACACACTTCCTATTGAATATATCTCTGACCTGTCAGAAATGCAGATGGTAATATCCAAGGCGACAGCAGCAGCTTCCTTATATGAGCTTGTCTTCTCACTGAGGCTAGCCTCCATGCTGCATGTGTGAAATATTGCTTTATATGACACGATATTGCTTTTTATGATATGCTCTGTCACAATGTGTATTCATAAATGTAGAAATGAGAGAGATGGGCTCCTCTGAAGTGATTCCCATATATATATATATATATATATATATATATATATATACAGTACATACAAACACCCCATCCCCGTCAAAACACACACACACAGCATCATTGAGGGAACATGGTGTTGTGATGATGATGATGAAGACAGCAGGTCATATAATGAGGAACATGTGAGGCTTTCTGCTTCAGTAACTCTCCTACAAAAATTCATCCTCCCACGCCTCTAAGAAAGAAAATCTCTGCTGATGAATGCAGTCGCAAATTTGTGAATTATGTATGCTGTGTGAATATGTGTGTGTGTGTGTTTCATGTGTGCGCCTGCACACATATGTAAGAAGCAAAAGCCTACATTTCCACTGTGTGTTCTAATTATCCCCCAATAAGGAGCCCCAGTGCCATCCCTCAGGAGCAGTTAAAGAGTCTAATGATCAGCCATAATGCTGCTTTTAAACGGCCTCGCTCACAATAAAATACTGTAATTCCTCTTCTGTCTCTCATAATAGGCTGAGTTAAAGCCAGTGTGCTGCTCACAGGAGTATTTGGATTAGAGAGAGAGAGAGAGAGAGAGAGAGAGAGAAGGCGAGATCAAGAGAGATCAAGAGAGGGGGAAAGCCTCCCCTGACCACACCGTCTTATTGGAAAATAAATATGTCCTGGCATTAGTGCCATTACAGGGGTCAACTACAAATGGTCCAGAAAGTCAGTCTTTTATTACCTGACATACACAATGACAGTGTGTCGGATATAAGTAATACACACTTGCCAAGTGTAATATTTTAAGGTCACAGCTTATGTGAAAACCCTAACCCCCAGTTGTGCTCTCTCCCTTAAATTGAAATTTTAACTCGGTGTCAACTAACCCATTTGTGCCCACAGCTGAAGTTTTAAATTTCCCTTGATTAAATTATTCTCCTGGCTTGCCTATATTTTCAAAATCGCTCTTATGTGAATTACTATGTAAGATCAGTGTGTTCAAATTTCAATTCCTACTTCAAAGAAACAAAGTGTGATTTTTCATGTGATCTAGAAATGTCAAAGTAATTTACTGTTGGCTACTTTGCCAAAGTATGTCCGTACCAGATTTCGAAACTCGACCAATCGGAGTCAATCTTGTGGCACTTTTCCTAATACTCAATGTCGTCTTTGGGCACAACTGGAATTGACATGTTTTGTAAAATCAACTAGAGAAGTCAGTTCTTCACATCTCTGCTTCGCTTAGCTATAAAACATGTCATACAAGTGAAAGTTTGAGAATGACCACTGTGCCACAGACAAGTTTAAAAATGTGATAATTAATAGTAAATAGTGTAATGTATAATGTACAAAGAAATCATTTAATTAGATTTAGAAGAACATTAACTTGATAATGTATCTTTTTTCTCTGATATTAATTAATGGCTATACTTGCCAACAAATGAGCAGAAAAGAAGAGAGCCAGAGTGACGGCATTATAAATGCTTTTAATTATGTCTTCTTTTGTTCTTTTTTGCCCCTCTATATAATGTTATTTTTTCCGACTGCAGATACTACCACATGTAACAAAATTATGAAGCCTGGACTATTTCTGTTTTGTTTTTTTTGTAGCTTATTATCTCCCACACTTGTGTCACTTTTTTTGGTCTTCCTGCCCTCGTGTAGGATGTGGTGGTGGTCGGAGAGGAAAACTTCACCACGCCGTGCTATATCCAAATGGACGATGAGTCCTGCCACATCCTGACAGAGACACTGGGTACCTCCTGCTTAGTGGGCCAATCTCTCAGCGCTGCAACCACCAAGCGCCTCAAACTAGCCATCTTCGGCCCCGTCACCTGCCCCGCCATGGAATATCACATCAGGGTCTACTGCCTGGACGACACACAGGACGCATTCAAGGTAAATATACAGCAGGTTGCATGTGTGGATCCGTTCTTTTGTTCCCTGTGTTTGCAAAAGATTATGTAGCAGAAATTAAATGTGTTTGTGAACATTAATGATGTTTGTGAGTGTGTCATTTCGACTAAATTGTTGATTTGTGTGTGTGTGTAGGCACAGCCAGCAGATGAGCTTAGCGAGGCAGAATGAGAAATCATTGTGTTGGTTTGTCATAATAAGGGGAGACAAGCACTTGCATTTGTAAAGTGTTGCTGTTCCTAGAAAGATGTAGCTGCTGCGCCAATACAAAATAAGCCACCTTTATCCCTCTACTATTGTCTCCCTCTGTTTAATACCTCCATCTACCTACACGGAGGAAAGATAAGGACGGATTATTACACTGAGCAGGGATATTAAACACGGTTATTAAGTTTGGGAATGGGTAATGAGAAGTGATAGTGATCCTCCTGCAAAGGCATTGAAGTTTGTTTCAGATGGCTGGTCCAGATTCAGGTTCTTGCATTTGCAAGAAACTGCTGCAGCAAACAGCAACAGTTCACAGCAGCACAATAGTAGACCCATTTGTGTCGAGGTCAGTAGACATGGTTACAAAACTAAACAAGTGTGTGTCTTGTGTATTCAGGAAGTCTTACAGATGGAGAAGCAGATGGGTGGGAAGTTGTTGGATGAACCAAAGACTCTCAGCTTTAAAGACAGCACCCACAACCTGAGACTTTCCATCCACGATGTCCCCCACACGCTGTGGAAGAGCAAACTACTAGCCAAGTACCAGGTAAACTCGTCGTACACCTTCTCAGAGAGACAACAAAACATTTTCACCCGCTCGCTGACAGCTGAGTAAACCTTCTACTCTCTGCACCTCCTCTGCAGGAGCTCTCCTTTCAGCAAGTGTGGTGCGGCTCACAGAGAAACCTCCACTGTTGCTTTACGCTGGAGCGCTTCTCTTCCAGCACTGTGGACCTGGCCTGTAAGATATGTGTGCGCCAGGTGGAGGGAGAAGGACAGATTTTTCAGCTGGACACTACACTGTCAGAGGTAGGGTTTATACTGGCATAAATTCTCCTTTCACCTGTAAAACTACCGTCAACCGTCAACTTTCCTGTCTGTCCTTGACTGTGTTATCATGCTGCTCCATCACTTGAGCCGTTTAAACGCTATGTATCAAAGTGCATTACACTTTATCGTAAACACATTTCATACTGTTCATTGTTCTCCGTATCACACGGTTGGCTGGACCTCCTTAAAGTTGAGAAGAAAATAGCAATCTCATTCTCATCTCGCTATTCATTTATAACGCTGTTATACTGTTAAATTACACAATCGGATAACTACTTGCCCTAAACACTTGTTTAAAAGAAGGACTCTCTTAGTTTAGATACGAGCAATGCATCATAAAAAAAGATTTGAAAACGTCTGATTTTTATAATGGAGATCACTTGAGTGAATTTACCCTCTCTCCCATGTCCTCTTCCCTTCTTTTGCAATGTTCGTAAAAACACCGACAGGGTGGAAGATGGGGAGTCTCGACCCTACGGCCTTCATATAGTCCTGACAGGCCAATTCAGAGTAGAGGGGGAATAATCACCCTCCAGTCGTGCTGCACTTGTTTCACAAAGGCCATCTGGCCGGGAGGATAGAGCTTGAGGGATGGCGGAGCACTCAAGCTTTGTGCTCAGTAATGAGATGAATTACAGTACATGCAGTCCAGAGCTGCGGCCCTGCCTGACCTTGCTTTCATTTGTCTCTGGTTCTTGCTCTGGTTTCTGTAGCCAGGAACTCCAGCACTTAATCCTCCAGATGCAATATATTTCAAAATCAGTCACTCGCATCGATAAATTAACGACAATAACATAAAAAATTACCTGGAAACAGAAATTTTCTGTGCAACGGTACAATTTCGAAGCATTTTGTGAGATGTTGTTCGATTATGTACATGCTGAAAAAATCTCACTGCTACATTCTGTGTCCCTCCTCTCTCTCTCTCATTCTCTGTCTCTCTCTCTCTCTCATTCTGTCTCTCTCTCTCTGTCTCTGTCTCTCTGCAGGATTCCCAGAGTATTGACACGTCTCTGCTGGACCCTGCAAGTAACATCACCACACTGGTGGGGCCCAATGCCTTCCGCATCCCTGTCTCCATCCGACAAAAGTTGTGTGGCAGTCTGGATGCGCCACAGACCAGGGGAAATGACTGGAGGATGTTGGCCCACAAACTTAACCTTGCCAGGTGGGCTGTCTGAGAGAGAAAAGGAGTGACCGTAGATTTAGGCTCTTAGTGGTCACAGTCTGGCCAAAAGAACATCGGGTTGAACATCACCTGTCATCAGGTTTTGCTCATTTTTCAAGGGAAAATGAAAGAGATCAAGTGAATAAATAAGAGTGACTTGTTTTACAGATATAGTCAATCTCCCTATTCTTCCACAAGTTGCTGATGTGCAATTTTAGCTGCCAAATTCTATTTTCACAAGCATTAGGCATCAAGATAAAAGCAGGGATCAAAACTGAAGTCTGTTTTTATTTGATTAAGATTTTTCGGGGGTAGTGTGACTCATTTCGATAAGCATCTGCTGAATTGAGATTAATTGAGTTTGACTAAACTGAGACAGACACAGAGAGAGACAAAGACATAACGACGCTTCTCTTTTGAAAACGTTACCCGTGTGTGTGTGTGTGTGTGTGTGTGTGTGTGTGTGTGTGTGTGTGTG